GTGGTAAAACACGTAACATGAGATTTACCTTCTTAACAAATTTGGAATGCACAATACCATACTGTTAACATGGGCACTACGTTATACAGCAGATCTCTAGAACTATTCACCTCGCATAACTGACACTTGATACCACTGAACAACAACTTTCCATTCCCCCCACCTCCCAGCCCCTGGAAACCACTATTGTATTCTCTGCCTCTAAGAGTTGGACTATTCTAGATAACTCATATAAGTGGACTTACACCGTGTTCATCCTACTGTGGCTAGCTTATTTCCTTAGCGTAATGTCCTCAAGGTGTATCCATGTTGTCACAAATTGCAGGATTTCCTTTTTTAAAAAAAAAGCTGAATAATATTCCGTTGTATGTATAGAGTACCCAAAATTTCAGTTACTTGCAGTCAACTGCAATCCAAAATATTTAATGCAAAATTCCAGAAGCCATTTGTAAGTTTTAAATTGTATGCCATTCTGAGTAGTGTGATAAAATCTTGTGATGTCCCACTCCATCTACCCAGGACATGATTCATCCCATTGTCCAAATATCCAAATAGTCACACTATATCCTCCTGGCCCTTTAGTCATTTAGTAGCCGCCATCTTGGTTATCAGATCCACTGTCACAATATGGTAGTGCTTGTGCTCAAGTAACCCTTATTTTAATAATGGCCCCAAAGTGCAAGAGTAGCATGTTGGCAATTTAGATATGCCAAAGAGAAGCTGTAAAGTGCCTCCTTCAAGTGAAAAGGTGAAAGTTTTCGACTTAATAAGAAAAAAATATTGTATGCTGAGGTTGCTAAAATCTATGGTAAGAACAAATCATCTACCCATGAAATTGTGAAGAAGAAAAAAGAAATTTCTTCTAGCTTTGTTGTTGCACCTCAAACTGTAAGAGTTACAGCTACAGTGTATGATAAGTGCTTAGTTAAGATGGAAAATGCATTAAATTTGTGGGTGGAAAGACATGACATCATCATGGCTCAATGATCCTCCTTCTGAATTATCCTCCGAAGGTCAATATTAGCCTAACGCTACGTCACAATGCCTATGTCATTCACTACACTTCATCTCACCATGTAGGCATTATATCATCTCACATCATCACAAGAAGAAGGGTGAGTACAGTACAAAAACCTACTTGGAGAGAGAGAGTGAGACCACATTCACATAACTCTTATTACAGTGTATTGTTATAACGTATCTTATTATTAGTTATTGTTGTTATCACTTACTGTGCCTCATTTATAAATTAAAATTTATTGTAGGTATGTATGTATAGGAAAAAATGGTATATATATGCTTTGGTACTCTGCTTTTTCAGACATCCATCTGGGGTCTTAGAATTCCCCCCCAACTCCCACCCCTGCATAAGAGGGGACTTCTGTATAGCAAATTTATTATCTTTAAGTTTTGGATGTCAGAGTCTAGATCTAAATCAAGGTATCTGCAGAGCTGTATTTCTTCTTGAGGCCATAGAGGAGAATTTGTTCCTTGCCTTCCCCTGCTTATAGAACCTGCCCGAGTCCCTTGGCTCATGACTCTGACCTCTGCTTCCATCATTTCGTTTCCCTCTCTGACTCTCACCTCACTACCTCTGTCTTGTAAGGACCTTTGTGATTACATTGGGCCCACCCAGATTTTCAAGAACAATTTTTCCATTCAAGATTCTTAACTTAATCATATCTGCAAAGTCCCTTTTGCCAGATAAGGTAATATATTCACAGGTTTGGGGGATTAGGATGTGAATGTTTGGGGGGTCATTATTTTACCTACAACAATGTAAATAAGTTACCATGTGATGGAGGCATGACCAGAGCATTGTTGAATTCACACTGTATTAACTTGGGGTCCATTTTGCCAGTCCCATTGGTTCAAACACTGATCAATAATGCATGTTCACAAGCAGTACAGGCCACAGGATTCACTCTCCACAAAGTCACATATGATGCATAAAAATTTGTAATCACCATTTGTCTCATTCAGTTTCAATGCATTTGTTCAAAGGAAATGCCCAAGACACAAGTTTTACCTTAAAACATAGCTGTCAATTTGGACACATGTGTACTTGGGTATCTTTGCCATTTTTAGTCGTTAAATGACACAGGAATATAATCACACGTAATAACAGTGTGTATTTCTCTATTATGTTAGGATGTTGGTTTTATGATTTTCAAGGCCCTTACACTTGTAATATAGTAGGACACGTGCTTCTCTAGTCTACTCTCCCTGTTCTCATCATTCGTTCAACAGTTATTTCCTAAGTACCTCCTAGGTGTTGTAGTGTTCTACATGGTTCACATGCACATACAATGAAAGAGCCCGGGTTTGAAATTCTAACTCCAGGGAACATCAACCACCCATCTAAGGACTCACTTTGTATGTGTCACATTCAGACTCTCCCAAAGAGAGTGGCTGGTTATTAAACTGGTCACTATGACTTAGGAGTGCCCCTGTGCAGTAGAGTCACGCCAGGCCATCTCTCAGGCTGCAGGCCAGCCTACAAGTGGCTACTCTGGATAGATGCTCATTCCTGGTCAGACTGCTGTGTCTGCTATCTGGTCCTGAGGGATGGAGCGTAGGCCGCATTTCAGGGACCCTCAGACAGAGGTTTGGACAATCACGAGCATCCTGGGGTTCCTCCAAATGAAGCAGAATATTTAGGAGGCAACATGCTTAGTGTATCCAGGACAAAAGGCAGGTGTTAAAGCTATTGTTCCCTATTTCCCTTACTTCCATCATTTCTCGTCTTATCTTTCTCCCTTCTTATGTCTGGATACATTTCAACCAATTCCCCTTGTAATTGTAAACTACTATATTGTCATCGCATTTTTAAATTTCCTGATTCTTACATTTAACTGAGAAAGCAAAGCGAATGCTTTCTAGTATTTTATTTCCTAATGTAATTTTTTAAACGATGGTTTAAAAATTTATGAGCTCAGTGGTTTCTTGTTTTATGTTCAAAAACTCTAAGCTTCATGTTAGATCACCTCTATTTTCTCTTCCTTGAATAATTAAAGTCCACGCAGACGTAGTGGTTACCACACATAAGGTCAAGGAGTTTCACTTTGTCTCCCTCACAAGTAACAATTATTAGACTTCTCCTCTCATTTTTGAAGCCACTAATTAAATACTTAGTGTCTATCTGGTATAGTTTTTCCAAACTCATTTCCTGAATTCATTCTCTAGTCTGCCTAGATAGCTATGAATTAATTCCTAGATATTTAGAAGTCCTGTGTAGTTCGTCTTGCCCAAAACAGTGCTAAAAGTCTACAAATTCACAAGCTCCCTGCTGATAGGATCTTTTTACCCCTGAGCCTTTCAATGACCAGCTTCATGTTCCAAGGCCACACACCAGCTGTTCATTTCCACACCAGCACATTGAATACTTAGAACTGCAGTCCCTAAATCGAAGCAGAAAAACAGCAGGCTTCATGGGGGTGCTACTGTAACTGTTTGTGCAATTGCAAACCAGATTTGCCTCTGGTGAAATTACAAAGGACAGAAGGGCAAGGGGTGGCACTTCCAAGTTCCCCTCAAACAGTTCAGAGTGTAAACACAGGCCTGCCTTACCACAGAACGCTGGCTGCTCGGCTGAAGCTAAGGGCCTTGTGGGATGGGGCTGTGAACAGCATGAGCATAGGACGGGGGTGGTACAGCAGAGGCCATGCTGCGGTTGCAAAGGGAAGCAGCTGGCAGGTGCAGGATCCTCCACAGGTGCCTGTCAGGTCAGGCCATCCTGCACCCCCTGGGGCCAGCCTTGCCTGTGAGCCCGCAGGAGACTCTTCCAGAAATAGCCGTGGGGACTTTACAGAGGACTGCCATTTTACAGAACCATATTACTCCAGAGTCAATGGCATACAATGTTACCATAGAATAGACTAGAATAGAATAGAACAGCATAGCATAGCATAGCATAGCATAGCATAGAATAGAATAGAAAAGAAAAGCAAGCAAAGCTTCTAGGCTATTCAGTAGGCCTAATTTTTTAAAAATTGTTGTACTCATGGAAAGAAAGCCCTCTTTCATCAACTGTAACTGAAAATAATGATAATAATAATAAAATAAAAAGAATAAAAAGAAGGCCCTCTTTCAATTCATCTAAAACAGCGTGAGCAGTGCCAGAGAGAGCCTAGCCATGTAAGGAGAAAAACAAAAACCAGCAATGTTAACGGACCAGGAACAATTCCAAAAGATACATAAAGCTCCAGGCACTGGCCCTGGCAGAACAATGGCTAAGGACACCACCCCTTGATTGCAGTGGGTGCAGTGGGAGTGTGCCGTGGTTTCGCTGAGTTGAGGAATTCAACGTGCAGTGATGACAGTGGCCTGTATTGGATGTGGATAGTTGAAGGTCTGGAGTCCAGCAATTTTGTGGGTGGAATCTCAGATTAGGAAGTTTTATTTATTATTTTCTCTCGACACTTGAACTTTGGTTGTAGTGCCCACCCCCAACGACTGTGGAATCTGGGGAGAAAGGGTTTCTGATCTCGGCATTGTTACAGTGCTCAGCAGAATATATATATATATATATATATATATATATATATATATATATATATATATATATATTACCCAGGACACAAATGAATGGTGGATTTATCTTTCCCGTGGTCCAACTTTTAGGTTAAAAGGGTGAGGGTATCATTTAAAGATGATGGGGAAAGAAGTTAAAGACACCCCAGAGAGATAAAGAGGAAGTCAATGGCATGGTTACAAAACAGGCATTTCTTGTATGGGAATAAGCAAATCATCTCAGGAGCAGGAACCCACATTCAAACAACATTTCCCTGCATCCAGGCCCGATAACAAACCCACAAGCAAAGCACAAGCAAATCCTGCAGGTAGGGAAATGGCGACGTCAAGAATGAGCTGGGGAAATTTGCACCTGCAGGGAGGTGCTTTCTTGCACGAACAGTGGTGGCACCAGGAATAAGTTCCCTTCCTGAAATTGTTGCAGAGATTCTGAGTGTGCGTCCCGGATAATACTTTGGAGTAGAAGGATGATCCCCATCCAACTCACTGTATTCTTCATGGTCATCTATGTGCTCGAGTCCTTGATCATAATGGTGCAGAATAGCTTAATTGTTGCAGTACTGGGCAGAGAGTGGGCGCAGGCCAAAAGGATGTCACCTGTGGACATGATCCTCATCAGCCTGAGCTTCTGCCGCTTCTGTCTGCAGTGGTCATCAATGCTGCACAATTTTTGCTTCTATTTCAACCTTGACTGGGTAGTGTGGCACGTATCAGTCATCTGGGAATTCAACAATACTCTTTCATTCTGGTTAACCGGCTTGCTTGCCGTTGTCTACTGTGTCAAATTGTCTTCCTTCACCCACCCCATCTTCCTCTGGCTGAGGTGGAGAATTTTGAGGTTGGTTCCCTGGCTGTTGCTGGGTTCTTTGCTGATTTCTTGTGGGACAATCATCTTTTCAGCTATTAGGCATCACATGAGTACAAAGCTAAGTTCCATGGCGCATCTCCCTAGAAACAATACTGTGGTGGAGAGACTTACGTCTTTGGTGCATAATTTTATGATATCTCAGCACCTGGTTATGTTGACTGTTCCTTTCCTCCTGTTCTTGGCCTCTTCCATCTTGCTCATAGCCTCATTGTCCCAGCACTTGGGGCAGATGCAACATCACAGCACTGGCCACAGCAACTCGAGCATGAAAGCTCAGACCACTGTCCTGAAGTCCCTTTCCGTCGTCCTCATCTTCTTCACCTCTTACTTTCTGATGATATTCATCGCTACCGTAGACAGCCTATTTGCGAAGAGCCCCTGGTTCTGGATGTGGGAAACCATCATCTATGCTTTAGTTTCTATTCATTCCACTTCAATAATGCTGAGCAACCCTAAATTGAAAAAGGTTTTAAAGGTAAGGTGCTGGGGCCTAGAGGCTGCCTGAGGCACCGGGTACCACTAGACCCCTGGGCAAATGGGAGTTTGCATGGACGCCACTAATAGCAATAACCGTCATGACTCTGGACAATCCCCTGTGTGAGAGTGATGTACCATAAATGCAAGCCTCGTTCTCTTTGACCCCCACAGCTATTCATCTCTAAACAACCAATCCTTTCTCTATTCTATGCCACTCTTCTTTTCCTTTCCACAATCTCCAGGTTGGTCCTGACTTTCTCATGACTTCCCCATCTCTCCTTAATCCTCCCTACCTCTGGAGTCTTACTCCCAGGATATTCTACACAAGACAGCCAAAATCATGGTGTGCACACATTATTTTTATTTTATTCTTTTCATGACTGCAAGTTACATCACATATTAATCTGAGTCCCTCCCCCACAATAATTTATTGCCTATACCCTGAGTGCTTCACATGCTAAAGCCTCAATTCACTTCCTAGATTTAGTCAAGAAAAGGTCTGGCGCTCTCTCTCTCTCTCTCTCTCTCTCTCTCTCTCTCTCTCTCTCTCTCTCTCTCTCTCTCTCTCTCTCTCCCTTGCTGCTGCTGCTGCTGCTGCTTCTGGACCTTTAGCCACTGACTTAAATTTTCTGATTTGTTTCTCTTCGAAGCACTGTGCCTTTATTCCTTTAAAACTCAAGCCACATCTTAAATTTCCTTTCACTTCCATTTGTCAAGACATTATACCATACCCAGGATAGCAAACTACTTACCCAGTCTAGGTTCATTCTAGAACCTGTCCAAATATTTGCAGCTCACCTGGGTCAATTGCATGTAGTTTCCATTGGCTGGATTCTTGCCTCTCTGTTGTGCGATTTGAAATTAACTTTTTAGAAAGATTCCCAGATCGAGGCTTAGCTTGTTTTCTTTCATATGTAACCAGGATGTCATCTGGAAACTGCTCTTACTTTATAAAATCGGAGTGACATTGGCTTAAATTCTCTATAGCTTTCTATTCTGTTCTCTGTGACAACCCCATACTCTCTCCAAATGGATAAGAATACAGGAACCATATAGTAATCAATTAAAAATCACCTACAGGACTTTCCTATTCTTTAGAAATCCTTTTGTGCCTCCCCAATCCCACAGGCTTCTCTCATATCTGTTTCCTTGTGGCACCCAATTCCAGTCCCACCTTTTCCCCATAGCATCTCTCTTATCATTTCTCTCCTCTTCACCCTCACCCCCTAGCAATAAAACATCTTAGTAACAGCCACCTCCCAGTCCTTTGGGTCTCAGCTTCCATCTGCACCCAGGCCCTTATCAAGGCATTTTTCCTAAAGACAGCTTCATCTCTTAAGGTTTTCTTGGGGCCTGAGGTTAAGAATGTAACTTTTATTCACCTTTTATATATATATTGGACATGTCTGATTAACTGAACTTCCGGCTTTCCATTAGAAGATTGAAACAACTCTGAGAGAAAGCCATCCTACGGGAAAAACTATGCAGGTGTCTCAAGCTTGACTCTGAAAGAAACACTTCATCTCTAGAAGGGAATTGGAATTCTGATCTGGTCTTGGGTCGATCACTCTGATGTGTGTCCCAGTCAAGTCATCCCTTGAATTAATATTTGAAACCAGGAGTTTGAAATATAAGTACAAACTGAAAGACCACTTTCCCCAAAGACTCTGCCACTCAGCGTATCTCAACAGCATTTGTCCTGCTGCACAGAAAGGGGAGTAATGCATATTTTTCCACTTCACAGCAGCACTCCATGCAGCTTTGGCATCTCCTGAGCTCCAATGGTTCAACTGTGGTAGAAGGTGGGATGGAACCTGGTGGGAGCAGTGATGTCGGGGGAGCAGAGTCATACCAAGATGAAGTGGGACTGAGTAGAAAAAAGGAAAATAAAATATAGATATCAACATTGTCTTATCTGCCCAGACACTCCCTGGAATGCCTAGGAGGATAGTGGGGAGACTGGTGGCATGGGTTTAGAATCCTGATGGACTGAGATAAAAGCCGGTGAAATTTAAATGGTTTCTATTGATCATGTATATCCACATCTTGCAAGTTCTAAAAATCTCAGAAAGCTGGAAGAAGCAGAAAGTGTTTCATAGATACATGAATTTCAGGCACCAAGGGGCTATGCACCTGTGTTATCCAACTTGTCAGCAGTCTATACTGTAACACTCATTATTAACGCTCATTAGCACACACACATAGAGTGCGCTGCATGGTAACTCACAACAAACAGGGAACAGAAGATAAAGAAGGCTGTGTCCAGGGTTTTAAGGGCGAGTATTTAGAGGCCTGTGAGCCATGGCACTGAATTTAGGAGGAGCCATGTGAGTTCTGCAGCCCAGCACCTGAATACAAACATATCCCATATATACATCAAACCAGAAAGGAGACCCTCCACCCTTCACACAATGCCCCATTGTTCCGACTGAGTCCGAGTGGTTCCAAGATTGGTGCCTGAGAAGCTGCAAGCCCAGAGGACACACCAAGTGGCTTTGTGCAGGACAGGTTTAGTGAGGCTTGCAGACTGGGAAGAGTCCCCCGTGCTGGCTGGCGATAGGGGTAGCACTCCACATACAGGCAGAGGAGAAGCAAGGTTATATGGGCACAGAAAACAAAGCACATCCAGTGAGAAAACCCATCTGGTAGGCCCTGCACTTCGACTGCATGTTAGCTTATAAGACTGTGGGCCAGGTCCCTATATTCTACCCTCCCCACCCCCGACAGTCATAGCTCATGGATTCTTGTGAGCCAAAGATGGACATTGTAACCAAGCTCTGCAGTAATAATATAGGCAAAAGAAAAGGAGTAACAGGCCCAGGAGGGAAGCAACAACACCCAAAAATGGGAGACATGAGGAGGAGGTGAAGAAGGTTAACCAACTAGAAAGGGGGTCGTACATAAGAATCCCTGCTTTATCATGGGCCCAGAGTTTTGAATAGTGATGTAGAGAGAGGTTTTAAAGACAAAGCTTGAGGATATTAATAGTCCCTGTTCTATACCAATACCCCATGGGGCTAAGATGGTCAACCACCAAGGCCTGGTTTGCACGCGCCATGGCCAAGAGACCATGTGTGTCCCCATAGGCAGGTCTTGTAGCAGGATATTGTTTTCAGCATCCTGCTTGGACATGAGACTGTGTGGCCCAGTCACTTGGATTCAGAGAACCTGGTAGGGCTCAGCGGTCAGGTGAGCATACCGTGGGCCTTTCTCTTCAAAGGGAGTCACTGATGGTCCTGAGAGCCCAGGAGAAGCTGTCTGCCTCCTGACTTCCAGGTGGGGTGTTTAACCCTGCATGAGCTGGGACGTGGTACACTGGGACAGTTTTCAGCTGTACCACTGCCCATATATGTTGCCCTAATTCCTGACCCCATCACTGTGCAACCATCCAGTCATTTGCAGCCCAGGTGGAGAGCCATCAAGTGAGGCCCTTGAAGACCACCCAGCAGTCGGTTCACAGGGTGATGTCAGCTGCTTCTAAGACAGTCACCATCAGTGCTGCCCTGAGTTCTGCAAATTGGCTGCTTTGCCTGGTTCCAGCATCCCATCATAAGGTGTGGGTGAATTGGTGTGCAGCCATGCAGACTATTGGGGCGGCTGCCACTGCAGAGCCGTCTGTGTCCCAGGTGTCCGTGTACCATCCCTGTCCTTCCTTACAGCGGGGGATGCTTGTATGTCCGTATCGGGGGTGTCAGCAGAGAGGCCTGCAGTGAGATAGGTCATGGGTCCCAGGACAGCGTGCATCTCCTCACTGAGGAGGCTGGTGACAAAGGTGCAGCGCTGCTGTAGATAAGCATGCTATTTAGTCAGAGTCGGTGTCTGCGCAGTACCTGAATGTGGCTTCCGCAGCGTGTCCTGAATCCACCGGGCTATCGGGAGGGAAGTCCTTACGGTGACAGGGGCTGTGCTGGTGGGCGATACACACTGATGAAGGGTGTGGAGTACCGCAGAGTTGTATTTTGATGGGGCTGCTTCGTTCTTCGGCTCCTTTCCATAACTGTGACCAGAAGCCAAAAGGCTCACGCTGTTCATTCTGCCGCTGCCCCAAACCCCAGCCCAAACCCTCCGTGGCACTAGCCACATCCAATTCACAGGGCACATCAGGTTGAATCATGCCCAACACCTGTATGTGTTTGACTGCCCATTTTGCTGCGATGACTGCCTCGGTGTGTTGGGTTTCCCAGCCCCAAGGCACCCTGCTTCTTAACCAGTCTATATAATGGCCTAAGGATTTGGGCCAAGTGGGGGATGAAGGGTCGCCAATAGTCCACGAGGCCCCAAAATGAACGGGGGAGCAGATGCTGGGAGGGGGAAAGCTTGTATTTTGTCGATAACTGCTCCGGCATTATTTTTGTCTCACCCGCCCACATAACACCCAAGCATTGGACAGAGAACCCAGGCCCCTGCACTTTGGTGTGGTTTATCACCCATTCTTACTGCTCCAGGTGGGGAATCACCATTCCAGCTGCTTGCTCTAGACCTAAAGGAGACTCACAGGTTAACATCATGTCCTCTATGTAGCAGAGCAGGTGCATTGAGATAGGCCTTCGCCGGAGCTGTAGACCTCATGCTATGAGGCCGTGGCATTCCCCGCACACCCACGGTGGCCCCCACCCATCGACCATAGAAGCCACAGCCCCGAACACAGAGGTGTGGGGCCATCCTGGAATTTCCCCTTCTCTTCCCCGTGTCTTGGGATGCAGAGAACACTGGCAAAAATGCTGAATCCTGTGTAGAGCCTGGCACGAAGCCTGTTCCCAACTAGACACACCACAGAATTTACTTATTGGATGATGTTTTTCTAGGCCCCTCCCAATCTAACCGCTCAGGTTACATGGGTTCCAAAACTCCAGTTGCACCGCTTTGCCTATTTTGGAGCTTGGTATTCAGGACTTTCCAAGCTCTGCCAGTTAACCACCTGCCCCACCTTAACTCCCAATAGTCACCAACGTAAACCCACGTGCTGTATTGGATGCCTCTGCTTATTTCATCCTGTGTATCCACGCAAAGCTCCATCTCCTCACATTT